GTCAATTTGTCAACTCCAAAAAAGAAACAAAAACTTTGGATCAAAGCGAATAACCGGCAAGCACTTGAATATAAATAAAAAGCGATATAAAATGTACGCAGGCACACTCGTACAAATTATTTGTACACAAATATTTAATTACGCTACTAATTGCCAGTGACGATAAACAGCCATGAAATGAGACACTCTGGCTATGCGAGTTCAAAATACATTATCGAGGGGAGATAGGGCATATAGCCTCAGCAGATGTTGTGCAATGTTTTTTTTATTTCGCTAAATCAAGTGGCATTACTTTTTTGCTCAGTGGGAGTTTCATTCAGCTTTTGTTGCTTTCACTGAAATTGCAATGATCTCAGCTCCAGTAAAAATCACTTTATGGATATTTACGACCTGTTATATATATCACAGCGATGTTTTTGCTGTTGTCTGTGTGGGTGGAGTGACCATGACGTCACTGCTGCGAAACAAGTTGGCCTTCGTCAGCGATCGAGTAATCATTTAAATGACATTACACGCAAATAAAAGTAAACAACAAGCCAACACTTCTAAAAATATATTTATTTTTAAATTTTAATTCTATTTTGAAAATTAAGAGATCATTTTTATTTATGCAATAAGGGTAGACCTTATTGCTTCAAAAATAATTATCCCCTTAAATAAAACACCACTCACATTTCTGGAAAAACTAGTTGTTATTATGAGTGTAAGAGACGCCCACTTCTTTGTACAGCAAACCTTTGCTAAAACAAATAGTTGTGGGATGGGTTACTAGAGTCACTACTGCCTTCAGTGGGTCATCATTTCCATAAGGGAGGAGGGCCCACGGGGATGGGGACAGTTTAAATGGAGTAAACTCGCACGAATTCTCCATATCGTATTGTTTTTTTAGGCTTACAAAGTCATCAAAAAAACCGAAAAGTGGGCGAGTACATTTAGCCAGCTTTTCATCCCGCCGTGACTGTTCACAATAATAAAACTAAAGGTTTTGTAACTATTAAAAATAGTACTACAAGCGTATTGTTGTAATTTTTGTTTACTATTTTATAGAAGTTGTCTGTGTGTATTATATTTTAGGGTAATTTTGGAGATTTCTCCCAATTAAATTATTTTAAATTATTTCCAACTGATTCTAGAGCTACGTCAGGCAATTATCGATTACCATCCCAAGATATCGCAGAAAGGGAGACTTTTTCGACCCTATAAAGTGAATCTATTCTTGATCACCATAACTAGTCGTTTTTAATAGTTGGGGAAGCTATAAGTGGGCCTGAGTTATAAGGTGGCTTTAAATAGGTAACCCCAAAACTCAACTGACTTCCTTAAAACCAGTTTAAACTGGGTGTTTTGGGATCATGTAAAAACTTCCCAAGATAACAAATACCTGAAATATTTGGGTCATTTTCCAAGAGAAATTTCTTAAACACTGAACTGTTTTCAATGACAGTACAAACTACTTCACATAAAATGTGAAATGCCCATGCAAAGTAAATATATATTAATTTTAAATTATGTGACAAAGTTTATTAAGCATATGACGTGGTGCAAACAAAATGTCGATTCTCTTGGGTTGCAATTTCAATAGCCGGGCATTCCGCGGCCAAACGGGAAATTGTGTGCAGCGACGTCTGAGTTTTGAGTTGAATTTTTTCGTTAAGCTGTCTGGGTTGTGCTGGTTGCCTTGAGACGGATGTTGGTTGTGACAGGCGGAATTTCGAAAAGTTTGGGCGTAAGCGTGGGCAGCGGTTTAGTAATAGCAATGCTTATGGGCGACAGCTGCCAAGCAACTCTTTGACTGAGTGGGTGAGTTTATTCCATCAATACTAAATCATTCATTTGTATGCGTTCAATAACTGTGTTAAATCAAATCCATGTCCTTTCTGTAGAACTTCTCGCCTGATTGGCATGCAAACTGCCAGGTCCTCCCTCAACTTTTGTAGTCCATTTATAAGCTTTAAACTCATTGGCGTGCCAGAAGGCAATTCAAAACGCCATAACAATCAGTTCGCAATTAAAAGGCGGCCCCTCTTAAAATTTCCACCTCCTTGTGCCTCCGAATGCCAACGGCACTGTTAATTTAAAATCTGCTCAATGATGTGCGATTACCAATTACTAATTAAAAGCACAATAGCAAGTGCATAAAAAAAACATTGGCGCTTAATACGGTGGATATACCATACATATATCGATTGTTTGGGTGTGTCCACTTGAGATAGCGGGCTTGTTGGCAAAGAGGAGAACTAGATTGCCAAGTGTTGGAGTGGATGGATTGGATTTACTAGAGGCGGGAATCACTCGACTCAGTCTGAGACCCAGACGGAAATGGAGAATGAGACTCCGTCTGAGAGACATGCAAATGATCGAAAGCGGACCAAAACACACTGAGATAAATTTTTAAATAATATAATATTAATATAAAAAAATATAACATCAAACTCTGCCGATCCTAAAATAATTAATCCTTATTTCGTTAAAAAAAAGTTTGACTCCCCTGTTTAATATACTTTTCACGACATTAAATATCAACAAATTTTTTTTTTTTAAATAAATTTTTTTTTCTTTTAACTAATACTTATAAAAATCTTTTTAAAGAATCTATAGCCAGGGTAAATTAATTTTTATTTATTTCTTTCTAGTGCGTACTAAATTCTAATTTTCAGAAAATATTTATGTTTTTTTTTAAAAACAATAAAATTTTTACTTATATATTTTTCACTATTTTTTCTTTTTTATATAGTAATGTTTTAATAGTTTACTTTTGTTTTTATTTAAATCAGAAAACGATATCGGAGAATTGAGTTGAAAATCATCATAGCTTTAATGTTTTTAGACCTTATATGTATATGTATTCGATGTATTAGAGGTTTTAAGGAATATTTTATTTTTGCAAAAGCTGCTAGGGTATAAATACTTCGGATGTATTCGTGCACAATATACTTCTTTAATTTAAGAAACTCAAATCCTTACCGTTCAACTTTCAATTTTTAAATTTGTATAATACTATAAATTATAGATCACTGAATTTCTTAGACTTTCAAAACTGCAAAAAATTGATTTTGCCCTGAAAAAAAACCGCCTAATAATTTATATTTTTAGAAGAAAATTTAAAGTATTCGATTTATTAGAAAGATATATATAAATATAAAGAAAATTAGCCAGTTCTTTATATTCTTAAGTTTATTTACTTATCCGGAAAAAAGTATTTTCCTGACAGACAAGCATAATCTTTTTGCTACCAGCATTGGACGCAGTTAACCTTTTTAATTCAGCATAAAAGTTTTAAGTTATACTTAATTTTTTTTTGTCAAAAATTATATTCCTGTGTGTTTTTCCTTTGGTGTATTTTGATATTTTGGGCAGAATACCGAAAAAAGGCAAACTTGGTCGCATTAAGCCTACGCGAAAATCCGATACTTATTTTTGAACAAAGGCTTAGTCACATTTTTGACCTGACTCACCGTGATGATCGAATACAAGTGGTCACAACCGCCTGAAATTCTTCTGCATAGCATTTCCGCTGAAATAGAAACAGCTGTTTTCGATTGCTGCTTTTCAGTTCAGATCGGCTTACTTCTCTACGTTTTGTTGCAGAAGGCAATTCCACTTTCCATTTTCATAACGCGTTTTTCAAAAATCTAATGCAATTCCAAACAATGCGTCTCATCAGATCAGTGCACTCTCTTAGCATTCACTCTTGAGTGAAAAAGTCGAAATAAACTCGACTCTCATCATCTAATCTTTTGAATCGCACATTATTATGGATTCTCTTCAATTTGTACACACAATATTTTATTTTTGGTCGCTGCTTGATTACATTTATGGTTAGTTCTTTCAACTGCAGCTTCAAAATTTATATTCAATTTGTTTACAAATGAGTGTCTGTCTGAGATCTTCTTCTAACATATATAGTTTCACGACTATTTCTTTGTGGCTTGGTTAATAAACCACAAAAAAGACGAGAGCCAAATTAGGGCTTTTTTCTTAATAACGGCTATGACCATTAGCGGCTTATTTTATTTTCTTTTTATTTTCGTTTCTCGACGAGCCCACATGTTTAAGCGGCTTCCTCTGGCCCGCAGAAAAAATAGCCAGCGCTCTGACCAAATATGAGGAATTTCTTTTCATTTCGCATGCACGGAAAAAAATATAAAACAATTATATTCTTAACAAAAGCAACATCATGCAAACGAATGTTATGCAAATTGCCATTTTGAAAAAAGATATAATTATTAACAAATGTTGAAAGAGAGTTTTAAATATATTGTTTAAATATCTGAAACGAAGTATCGACGATCAATATTGTATTTGAACGATGTAAGTTGATTAAAACATCAAATGCATCGATTATTCACTTATAATAATAAGTAATAACTTTGCTCAGTGCACTTGCTCGCACTCAATTTTGGGCATTCACGCGGCGGCTTAAGCTGCGTAGAGTGCTCAAAGAGCGGCAATCGCACTGCTCTCATGGTTTGCAAATAGAGTTGACTTGGTAGTGAGTCAGTGAACAAAAAGAGGTGCTTCGTCAGTTGTTTTCTTGCTCATAAGCTCAGTTAACTAGCTCTTTCGCTGACCAGGTAATTTTCTCTCTATCTCTGTTATTTTCTTGCTTTTTAGCTTTGACTGTTCTTTTGCTACTTTTTCTGACAACTTGTATTGCATCGGGAAATCCAACTGAGCGAAGTGTTGAGCTGAGCGAAGGAAATAAAAAAATTAAAGTGAACAACTGAGGAAGCGAAAGAGCCAAGTCTGAGAAGTTGATTCACTCTCAACAAACTGAGCAACTGATCTTGAGGAGCAAGCACTTTTTATCCAACACAACCACGCGTCAGTTGGGCGAATACACCTGCTCCGCTCACTTACACTCTCTCGCCCCCGCTCACTCTCCGGACTCTCTTCGCTTTTGTTTTTTTACTCTTGGCTCTTGTATCTCAGCGGTTGTATCTCAGCACTTGTATCTCAGCACCCAATTGAGTTCGCTTAACCCAATCGCGCTCAGTCAAATTTGAACCGCGATTCCGAGCGGTTGGGCGTTTCTCTGCTAGAACATCGTTCTCTCACCAGTGACTGTGTATGTGCGTGCGGTGCGGTGCGGGCATATATAAGTGTGCGGTGTGGCAACAAAAATTTGTTAACGCACACACTCACTAACAAAGTGAGAAAAAACCTAAATTAAAGTGCAAAAATTAATACAAATTCTTTAAAACTAAGCATTTAAAAGTTACATAAAAAACCCGTGTTTATCTTGAGTGCTAAAATTCTGTTGAAGCAGCAACGATGTCAATCCAGTATAATAATAAATAATGACTAAATTGAGTGACTGAGTGAATGACCGACGTTGTTATCTTCCCTAATAAACTAAACCGATCCATGAAATCATAATTTGAAACCAAGAACTCAGAACTAGAAAAATCACGAAAAATCAGCAGCTGCGTTGCATTTTTTAAATATTTGCTTGTCGCAAACAAGAAATTTTCAACTTCTCCCAACTTCGTTTCAGTTATGCGTTGTTGTTTTTGCCATTTTTTGTTGTTCATGTTGTTGTCTGCCGTCTGCTAGCTTTTCATTCAATAACCAGTTTTTGTCAGATTTTTTCTTTTGATTTTGGTGAGCTTGAATTGCTCTTTAGGGGCGATCTGAACTCGGATTTTTGATCGTTGCACACGCACTAAAATCGACAAAGTCGCATTGTAGTTTCTGAATTTTATTTAGGTTTTTCTTCATAAAGACAAACGCATGCATCGATTTCTACACCTAAAAAAATTGTAAATTGTTATTTCCTTCACGGATCTTCGTTTACTTTTAGTTTTGACTTAATATTGGCATTTTTGTTACTCAGGCAGCTTTTAGTAATGTATAATTTCAATTAAGAAGGCAAATAAATATATAACATTTAAAAAACAAAAAAATTCTAGGAGAATGTTAATTATTAAATTTTTTGTATTTATAATAAAAATGTAATGTTCCTTTCTTTTACGAAACCTTGTTTCACGTTTTATTTTAAACATACAATTTTACGTTGCATTTTATTATATTTATTGTGCTCAAAACGCAGTTAAAATTCTTGTTCCCAAACTGAGTAAATACTTTTTCTGACAGTGCCTACCCTCCGTTCTCCCTCCGTTTCTTATAGACGTTCTCTTTTACATTTTACCTGTAATTCTGAACACACGGTTTTCTTGACATGCCAGGCATACTTAATTCCGGCTCTCCCGTTTAAACTTGGCTTAGAAAAGTAAGAGAAAATGCACAAATCGCATAACTGTGCCATAAAGTGATGGGGAGAAGAAGGATGAAGAGATAGAGAAAGGAAAGGAGAGGAGAGGCGAAAAGCCAAGTTGAGAAAGTGGCAAAGGGAAATATTTTCCGTGTATTTATTGTGTGAAATTTTGCATGTGAGTGGAAAACTGCGCACGAAACAAGCAGCCAGCTAATAACAATAACATTAACCATAACAACAACAAGAAAAAATACGAGTAAAACTATTGGAAGCCACTTGCAGCAAAACAAAAGAAGCAAATAGTAAAAAATTCACAAACTCTTGACGTTCAAAAATCAACAAAATAGTTTTATAACAATAATTCAAGAATACTGAAACCTAAACCAAAATTTAAGTAAAAGTTCACAAAAACGGCCATGACTAATGTTTGTTTGTCATTTAGCTTTTCTACGCCCAGCGTTTGCATACAAAAATGACAATACAGACAAATTGAAAAAGAAAGAAGGCTAGCTGACGTTTAAATACTCTTTTACGCTTTAAAAATTAGATATCAAGATATAAACTCCGAATTCAGTATACCGATTTTAAGAATACTTTAAATATCAAGGTTTTAAGTTTTAAGACGTGTTCATTAAATACAACCAAAGTTTAGAAACTTATTACAATCGTTTCTTTGATTGTATCCTTTAGATTCAATATTAAAGTATTAGCCATTTTTAAATATTTGTAAAAGTTTAATAGAAATAGGTTTTAAACCATTCAAATTCGATCTTTAGATTAAGATTATTTAAATACTCTTCTGCGAAATTAAATAAACTAGTCCAACGTTGAATGAAAAATGAGTTAAAAGAATGAAAAAAGAAATTTGTCTATCCATATCTACCAACGACTATGGGTATATATAATTTGTTTTCGTATCTAATCAGAGGGACAACTCGTCTCTTGGGCCCGCAACTGGTTGCGTGTTTAGGCATTTATTTATTTATACTTATTGCGCTTATGGCTCCGAAATACTGCTTCAACTTGACCTCATGAATTAAATGAAATCACCCACAAAAAAGTAACTTAAAAATCCGGTCAGAAGTAGAGATCTATTTTTGTTTTGCAAATGAAAGTCCGAAAAAAATTGGACCGCAGTTTTGTCATTGTGAAGATTGCAAAAAAGTGGACACGGAATAAAATGATTTAAGTGCTCGTTTTTACTTGAGCTTTGTGTGTGCAGCTGCGTCTGAATTCAGTTTCAATTTATCTTTATAAATTTCAATTTGGCTGCAGGGTAAAAGTGAAACGATCGCGATCGCGCCCTTTCCCCATTGTATCTCAGTAGCCGTATCTGATGGATATATGGCGTCGCCAGTTCGTTCGCCCCTGGCGACAAATGCACCATGAACACTAGCGTATTTGCTAGATACATTTCACGCAGCACGTTTTTCTTTTGGCCCAAGCCCAATTGGAACAAAATGCCGGCAACGCGCAGAAATGTAGAGTCAGATACATAAGATAAAGAGAAATGCTTATAGACTACACAGAAAAAATTCTCTGAAATGTAGGCGATTAGGATGTTATTAATTTTATTAATAAACTTGTTCTTGTGTTTTGCTAGAGTTATTTAAAATAAATAAATGTATAAAAACACTTCCTTTGCTCATTACTATTTAAGGCCTAACTGAAGCTTATATCAATTAAATAAATATTTCCATCAAAAACAATTTGGATTATTACAAACTTTTTTAAAATATAAAGAAGCTGAGATTAATTTACCATTTGTTTAACGTGTAGATACTCGACTTCCTCAACGAGAACTTTTACCTAAATTTAGTTTAGTGCTTAGTACATTCCACTTTGGTATCTCACTAATTGCAACTTATTTGCAATTTCTGTTCTCTAATGATTTCACGTTCAAGTACGCGGATCGCGGGGCGACCATCTGAATCATCGCTTAATGTATGCAAACTTATTTAAATTTGCCAGCACCAACTTCAGGTCCAGCTAACGGAGTGTAATAAAAATAAAATCGCAAAGTGCCATCGCAAAACAAACATAAACTCCAAAAACGTGCTAAAAATTTAAAAAAATTAAAGAGTTTTCGGCGAAAGTTGACGAGTGTGTCCGAAGCGTTTTGAGTGTATCTGAGTCTCTTAATGTGCCACCCGCAAGATGACATCGCATTCCTACTATAAAGACCGTCTGGGCTTCGATCCCAATGAGCAGCAGCCCGGGAGCAGCAGCTCGATGAGACGGAGCAGCTCTCGTCAGACGACGCACCACCATCAGAGCTACCACCATGCCACCACCAGTAGCGGTCAGTCGCCGGCAAGAGTCTCCGTTTCTCCGGGTGGGGGAGGTGTGGGACTGTCTGGTAAAAATGGATCTCTGGAGTACCAGCAGGTCCAGCGGGAGCAGCGAGATCGGGAACTGTACAGCAACAGCAACAGTCATCACCTCCATCAGCAGCTCCACCATCGTCACTCGGCGGGCAGTGGATCATCGGCGCCTTATGATACCAGCGGTCCCGCTGCCCCCAAAAAAGCTAAGCAATCATCGACACAGGCACAGCCTCAGGGCGGCTACGAGGATGCCCTCACCCAGTTCAAAGGTAGCATGTCCATTTGGGATCATTTTATAGAAGATTGGGACATAATGCGTAAGTGGGAAATAGGATTTCAATTCCTTTGTGGCATGTGTTGTTCTAGATCTCTGATGTTTCCCTTTTTAAAACAAATCGAGATCTATTGATTGCCCTGGCGGAAATCATTTGCATTTCAAGTTCTCTTCGTTTGTAGCTTGTTTGTATGAATTTTAATTATGAATCTGTCGCGGTTTCATATGTATCTCTAAGCTTAACTAATCTGAAAACATGTTTTCACAAATGACGGAAGCCAGTCTTGGGAGCAAATTTTATATGGGGTCAAGGTTAAAACCCTCCTTTAATGCTAGCTCAGACCTCACAGAAAATTTGAGCAACTACTAAAAGTTCCAATCGGTTTGAGACTTGTTTGCGGAATTGGCAGATCAGAGGAATGTGATATAGCTTTGGCAAAATAATAAATACAATTTTTGGCAATGCGTTTGATATGGTGTGAGTTGAATTTTTTAAGAGTTATTAATACAAAATAAATTCCGACAATCACGAAATATAAAGTGTTGACACTTCTTGGGCAAACACATTCTCAGACCATTAGTCGCACCTTTCTTGGCACATCAAATGCTAATCAAATAAAAGGGTGCCATCTCGACCTTGAGTTTAACAGGGGACAGTTTTTATATTATCGTTTATTGGGGGTTAGAATAGGGATCGGTTATTCCGACTCCCAAAAACTTTGCTGACAAATAAACCAAAATTCGACTAGATTGAGAATTCCACGAATTTCCAAGTAAACTCATTTGTCCATCTGGAAAAAAAAACTGGTTTATGCTTATTGACTTTTGTTAACATTTATATGGCCTTTTTATGCTGATGGTTATACGTATAAGATTGCCTGACACACTAATTTTTAAGCGCCGTTGGATGGGAATTTTTTTGACTTGCAGATTAAAGCTAGAAATATTTTGAATTCCATTTAAAGTGCATTTTCTTACGTTTATAATTGAGGTGAGCTCATAATTTATATCGGGCAAAGGCATGAGTTTCTTATCGCTGATTGCAAGTGGTCAAAACACAATCGAGCGAACGACCTTCATATAAAAGAGCAATAAGTAGAATGTCGTATTTCCTTAACCCTCATAGGGTTTATCCGAAAATATTAATTAGCAAGGTAATTTTTTTTACTGACATTAAACAAACTTTTATACATTTTTTTAAGACTAAATTTAAATGCTTAAAGTAACTGTGTTTATGTTTGCCAAAATCAAACATGTGTGATTAAACGTCCTTCTAAGGTTAAGTGTGCTAATCAATGACAATGACTAAATGCTAAAATAAACATTAACAAATATCAAATAAGATTCTCCGAACTCTTCTACAACAACTTAACGAACGTTTAATCGTCGAAAACAAATTCAACTTAGAACGTGACATCATCACGCGCTCTTCAAAATGCCGCATACAGACACATTTCCAGATAGTGCTACCCCGTTTCGGTATTTGTGCCGGCGGAGTCGTACACCTTTGCACAATCATTATTTGTTTGAATATTTATGAACTCTTTGTGTGTTGTTCTTGGCTTAGAGGAAGTTAAAAATAAGTCCGATTACGAATCGGGTTGTGATGAATGCAATCGTGCAGAAAGATTTGTGCGCAAAGATCGGTTTTCTCAATGAATAGGAGAGTTCTTGAGAGGTGAAATCTCCGCTTGAATAAAAAATTGCAAACGGATGAGTCAGCAGCCATTGGAACAAGCTCACAATCATTTCTGCTTTCCACTCTCTCTGTGTTAACTTACCAGTAAATAAGGAAAAGAAAATTATTCGTATTGAAGCTTTACGAGTTTTATTATAATCAGGGCTGTCAGCCCAGACAATTCTGACTTTAGTTCGGTTCAGGGTACGAACCTTAATATACTTTATAACCGGATTGTTTAACGTGATAGTTTCAATTATTTTTTCTTTATCCTAATAAAGTTCACTTAGTTTTACTTTTGTCCTTAAAGATATTCACAGCCCTGATAAAATAAACCTAAAAGGAAAATATCAACTTGCAGAAGTTTTGTAGACTTTTACAGGGAACCTATGAATCAATACAAATTATTTTTTTTAGCTAAAACATACTATGGGAGCCAATTAGCTCCAGAACTTTAAAAGACTAAAACACTGACTAAAGTAATGATATATAATATTTATGTTCTAAGGAGCTGATATTGTGTTTGGACCTTAAGCTCACCAGATCACGTTTACCATACATTCTCCCAGACGATCCATCATGTATTTCTATTGACTCTTCTACAAATTGTTTTTCAACATTTTTGTTGACCGTAAAATAGCTAACATTCGGCTTGTTAGACAAATTGTCGCCAAAACAGATTAGGTATATATGTATAATCAGTGGCGTAGGCAGGGAGAATTAGGCAGTCATTAAATAATATGTCGTTAAACCTCAGATACACCAATGCTTATAATTAAATTAATAGTAACATCTATTCCAAGGGCATAAAAGCTTCGTTTTTATTATTTTACTACCTTTAAGAGAGTGGGAAGAGTAAATAAGAGACAGTTAAACTGCTTGAGTTCCACTTCAACAAGACTCACTTGTGCTTTTTACACTTTATACTTTATCCTTAACCGCTTTTGTTTTGCTTTATACATTCTGCTTTGTGTTTTTCGATATATGACTTGATTATTTTCTGTTTTCCTGCGTTTATTTTTTAATGATTCCGTTTTAATGCCTTTACAATACCCTCGATTTGCTTTCTTAAAGTACCTGCAGAACCCTTTCTTGCTATCTGCTGATTAGATTGTGATGAAAGAGGGCGTCTAACTTAAATTATTGCCAAGCTCTGAACATGCATGGAGTTATCAGCCCGAAAGCAAAGTTTACCAATTACCTCCAAAATGTTTAACAACTTGAAAATGCTTAATTTTTGTGCCGAAAGTTGAGCCAACATGGCCATTAGCTTATCTGTAGATGGGTTATTCCCACAAACAAACGCACACACGTCATGTGTCAGACCAACAAATCACAGCAGAAGCTAGCTTCACCCCTCCTACTTCTTATCGATTTTTGTATTTATCAGGCCAAAGAAAAACATTGACCAAAGTTTACCGAGACCCTGAACAAAAACACAGATAGTGTAAACGAGAAGGGGTAATAGGGAAATCACACACCCACAGTTCGAACTATAATAAACCATTAATTAGCAACAGTTGGAACATTTGTTCAAACGAGTTAATTAAAGCCTTAGGCAGATTAGTCTTCGCCCGCACTTGATTTGCTAAAAAATAGCCAAAACAAATCGACAATAGCCTCTGCTATAAATTAATAACTTTGATTGTGGGCGTTAAAACTTTGAAAACTTTACATAAATTAATCAATTTGCAATCAGCAATGACGCCATTCTAGATAAATCTTCTTTCGGTACAAGTTTTTCAGCATTGCATGATTTTTAACTACTAACCGAAATCAAGTTTATCAAGAAATACTAACGTTTGATTTCTTTTTTACTAATTCCCCTGTTTAGACGAACGCGATGCCATTCAGAAGAAGACTTTCACAAAATGGGTTAACAAGCATCTAAAAAAGGTGAGTAGATAAGCGTTAAGCTTATAATAAGGGGTGCCCCTAAAACATAAAACAAACAAACAAACTTAAACAAATCTAGTGATTGCTTATAAAAATGTTACATTTTTTCTTATTTTTAACACAAGCAGCATTGGAAGTATGCTAAGGTATATTCGCCAGTAATAATTATATATTTGTAGTTTTTTTCAATGATCAAAATCGATTTTCCTGCGATTTCAGACCTATACCATGCTACATGTTTGTGTAACCACAAATGGCATACCCTGTTGTTCTCAGTCTGTAAGTTGAGCTGTAAATGATTACCCAAAATTAAAGCTTTTTGATGTTTTATTTAGTTTGTATGCCCTTGTCAGTTCTCACTTAATTTTGGACAACATTTGATCTTGAGTTTTTATTTTTTAGCACATTCAATGTTTTTAATTTACCTTGCAGTTTGTTTTGATGTTCAATCCGAGCATTTTTGAAAGGTTTTGTTTGCATGTACTTCTCTTTGGGTTACTCTCTAATTTATTTAAATCCCCCTTTACTGGTATTTTTCAACCGCCTCCCTCACCTGCAGGCCAATCGTCGTGTGGTGGACTTGTTTGAAGATCTGCGCGATGGTCACAATTTACTTTCACTCCTGGAGGTGCTATCTGGCGAACACCTGGTATGCTTTGTTCAATTGATTTCTCAGCAGTTTTGTCACGCTCTCGCCAACGTTTTTTACTCGTGTACTTTTTTTAGCCACGCGAGAAGGGTAAAATGCGTTTTCATATGCTGCAGAATGCACAAATGGCTCTGGACTTTCTGCGCTACAAGAAGATCAAATTGGTCAACATACGCGCCGAAGATATCGTGGATGGCAATCCCAAGCTGACCCTGGGCCTGATCTGGACCATTATATTGCACTTCCAGGTGAGTTTTGTTCATCAATACTATATATACATAAATGTTCATTGATTGAGCAATTGGAGCAAAACTGTGGGCGCTGCTTTGGTGGGCTGGGATTCAAAGTCAACGAGACAGCACCGCCCACGAACCGCTCTTGCGGCTGAAGGTGACCCCGGTCTAGAGTTTGTTTTCATCTGGGCGTTGGAATCGATTCATTGAGCCGAATTGGCAGCAAGCAGCCCACACAGCAACCCAGCCACAGTCATGACACGCTACAAGCTACGCGCGATCTACCTAAAAATATTTTTGGCGAACGCGGCCCTCCCTTTTAAGGCAGCCCGATTGCCTTCTCTTTGCCGCCGCTGCTGACTGACACACATAACACTGCTGCTGCTACTACAGTTCGTCGTCAGCAGCAAGGCCGCGAGTTGACTTTAAGCCGGAGGACGGGGGAGTGGTTTCGGCCACCTACACACCAACTAGCAGCGGCAAGGCAAGCTGGCCTAGAGAAACGCTACGGTGTGATTCAGTTTATAAGAAAACAAAACAAATCAATCCAACCGCCATCTGTTTTTTACAAAGAAGAAACTGCATAAAAATATCGAATTTTGGTGATCACTTATTATAGTATACCTTTTACTAGATATCTAAAAAAAAAGATTTTGTTCGTGTTTTATTTAAAAATTATTCTAGTTTGTTTATGTTTGGTAACCAGACTTTCAAATTATATATGACACATCAGAATGAATAATTTAAAAATAACTATAAAGATGTTTTTAAAAATATGATTTAAAATGACATTTTGTGATGACTTCTTGGTACGGATAAATCATTAGAAAACCCGATTTTAATCTTTTAGTTCATGTTTTATTTAAAAATTATTCTAGTTTGTTTATGTTTAATAACCAGACTTTCAAATTAGTATGACACATCAGAATAAATAATTAAAAAATAACTGTGAGGATGTTTTTAAAAATATGATTTAAAATCATATTTTGTGATGACTTCTTGGGACGGATGAATCATTAAAAAATCCGAATTAAATCTTTTCCGAAACACATCGTCGAGTTACATTTTCGTAGTATGTGTGTCAATGAAGTGCAATGCAATGGATATTTCGTAACTTGCGACGAACGCAGATGCATTTCCAAGTCGTCGTTGAATGTCGATGTGGCTGCGGATTGACTCTGACTTGATCGATGGCGCGCATAAATGCTCCATGATGCTGCCAGTTCGTCGACCATGAGACAACAGCAACTAGCAGCAGCAGCAACATGAACGACAGCAGCAACACGCAACAGAGGCTGGCAAATGGCGCTTATTCAATTGAGGCGAACGAATTGTAAATCACTTGACAATGTGAAACTCAGCCGCTCGTTATTTACTGTTCTCTGTCTTATTCTTTATTTCTTCTCTGCCTGCCTTCAAGGATTTATGTATATTGCACTGCCGTTGCGGGTGTCTGATGTCATCCGATATTGCTCGGAAAAAATATGCAAATTCACCCCGATCGAAAAAGGATATTTCTTGTTTTGCATACCAAATGTTTTCTCAGTCTATTTTAATTTGTAGCTATCCAAATCTTAATCCAAATCGCAATCGACATCTTGCAATTATGACATAATTCCTATTTCCACTCGCGTACAGAGGCGAAGCTGTTTTGTGTACTCAATTAATAATCGGCGTTTTGTGGGTCAACTGTAAGAAAATATAAAATAATAATAAGCACAGGAGCAATTTTCTAAACAGCCGCTTCTGGCAGTTTGTAACGCTGCTTAGCTTGTAATTAAGTTATTATATATGCAAGCGAATCGTTTTGATCTATGAACCACCCACAACAACAGCAACAACAAACAAAGCAATCAATCAGAGACTTTACCTTTAGTTGAGACATAAAACCTGTTGTGCATTATTATTTTTTTTTTTTGTACTTTACACGTGGTTTAAATGATCCTCGTACATTAGTGTATATTTATAGCAGCTTTTAACTTAAAGGTTTAGAACGCTCTAGTTAGTTGAAAGTAAATATAATCTTTACAGATAAAAGGTAAATAAAAATATTTTTTTGACGTATTTTTGAATTCGTTATTAATAACTCGATAGCCGGACAACCATAAAACAAAAATGGCCGAATTCGTTGAATCCTTGGGCTCTCAAACTAACTTAAGCTTTGTTATTTTTAATAAAGCTAATCATTTTTATAATTCAGCTAACATATTACGCGATTTAATGTTTCAGTACTGCACCTGAAGCGTTATATTGACGGCCACAAATCTTCGACTGCCACGTAAACTTCCTAAGCCGCTCAATTGCTAAATTTAAATAGTAAATTGCCCCGAACCCCAAGGCGACGGTGTGTGCCAAATCGCCGAGATCTGTGTCGAATTGTTCTGACAAACGTTTTCATTATGAGCATCAGATAATTTGCCATTTTTCATTGCTCGTTAGTTGGGGAGTAGTGCGGATGTGTGTGCCAGGCGTTTATGTTCGGTCAAACTGCCATGACCAATACGAATGTTTAGTCCGGGCGCCCAGGCATGAAAAATAACGCCTGGAAAGAAAGGCTTAAACACAATGGCCAGAAAGCCAAAAAAATTAGAGACATTCTCACGTCATCGTTCGAATTTGAAAAGATTATTATTTTTTTTTTTTAGGATTTCTGTTTGTGGTGTTTGATTTATTATAAATTATAATACGCCAAGGTATGTGTTACAATAAAGTCAAAGCCAGTTGGGCTACAGTAACAGACAATAACGAGAATTACTGGAAAACAAATAAGGTGGAATAAAGGTGTTTTTACTGCCCTGCCTATATGACATCAGCAACTCTCGGTTCTTGCCAATCGAAAGACTTCAACGCAGACGGCGAACCCGAACTCTCGTCCAAGTGGCTGAGGAGCATATCGAATGACCAAAGTGGAGTGCTAACAAAACAAAGACAACAGATGCACTTATTCGTCTTAATTTATGACATTGATGACCGAAATTTTGAATCGCTTTGGTGTGTGGGTTCGATCTCGAAATCTATATATAGCCATCAAAGACAAAAACAAACAAATTTTCATTAATAAATCGATAGGTGGCATTTGGTCAAATAAGGAAACAAGCTGTTTATCCGCCTCTCTCTCTCTCTCTCTCTCTCTCTAATTATGATTCGCCATCCCTTTCTGTTTGATATGCAAATTTTTAGAGCTATCTAGAATAGTTGTTGGCACTTAAGCAACGTATATCAGTGTAAGTGTGTTTCAAATGACTTGTTATTAAGTTGAAAACTCACCGCTGGATATATTTCAAGTGTGTAGATGAAACTACAAGCGATCTGGGTAAATAAATTGAGCTAGCTGTCGATGATGATGAGCCCACACGGTGATAATCCTAGGAATGTTAGACATATTTGGTGAGACACCTACACCTCTCTAATCATTCATAAATTCCGTTCCGTGCCTACAATTATAAATTTAAACACATACTGGTATGTTGGATGAAATGTACTATTATATTAAATGTCGTTCCGTATCGAAGCGATATTGATATTTTATTGTATCCTTTTCGTTTTAAAGCAGAGGTCGACATATCGCATAATACAAATAGAGGGCCAACATGAATGGCGACCCTTTGCCCGCGCAACACCATTTTATGCTATAATAAATATGAGCTCGCATTTAAATTTTATCTTTTCAATATAAAAATCGTAGGCATTGGGAAAATAATTGAAAAGCAGACTAAAACAATATTTTAATGTGTTAAAATGTGATCTTACAATCTGTTCAGTGACTGGTATAGATGTTTCTATGTGTGGATATTCCCGAGAGGGGTGAAGAGAGGTATAAGAACATTAGCAGCTACTGATTCCGCTTTGTTTTCCCACCACAAACAACACATTTCAAGTGCAAAACACTGCTCAAATTACGAATAGTAGCAAACATAATGCCTCATTTGTTTACTGGGTTGCATCATATCAGTATTAATAAGCACATTCCCAATACGAGTACTTACCCGTAATACCACCTCACATCCCGCGGTGCATTCCTGCAGCGGCTAATTAGATTTGCAATTCAGTTGCACAGTTTGAGAGACTCGAGTCCCTAGGTGTGGGGTCTACGTCTCTACCTGTGTTGACCATAGCGATTCGAGAGTGTGTGTAAATCGAAAAACAACTGACAGCAGTTAAGAGTATTTATTACCCACACATAAATATGGTCAGCCAATATGCCGGTCAAACAGCTGTAGTCGCAGTCACTGCCTTTTACTCCATATAGGGCATCGCCATCGCTGGTTTAAGGCATGTAACATGATAATTAACCAATGTTGGCGGTACGAGAGCGAGTGTGTCGAGGTTTTGTGTCTTGAAACACACGAATCAAAGGCACTTCCGTCTGGTTAGCTCAGCCTCGCACATTCATTTCGACACCCACATGACTTTCTAAGTGCAAGATTATTGCAATAGTTCTGACTTACCATATTGGGTCGTAGATTAATGCATGCATATGTCGGGGAATTATATATTTAGTAAAAATGTTTTGGTGTTCTTACATCATAACGCAAAATTTAAGTTTTCCAATTTTCTTTGTGTTTCGTTCTCTGCCCTTTTGGTTTTTTCTTTGGCTGACTCCTCACTTTTTCCGAATACCCTTTATCATCTGCTCAGAGCTAAACCTGTTAACATCATTGGTCATTGTTGTTTTTTTTAGACTTTGTGGGTCAATCTGCAATGTAATGAGCTGATCGTGATATGTTATGAGACTTAAGTTTAATCTGCGAAGACCCAAATAAACCATGGGGTCAAAGCAACTCGCTGGTTTCTGCGTTCTTTTACTATTTTTAGTTTCTTACGTTTTTAATCAAAACTCATTGTTCAAATTCCACTACCGTTTCTTTTATATTTTGCCTTTTGCGTTGTTCTCTTCCATCATTAACTTCCCGTCTTCTTTTCATTATTACTCTTTGCCTTGGTGTTCTTATAGTTTGAAGTACCTGAGATGACGTAGTACCCGAGGTTGGGGCCAAAGAACCACTGAATGAGTG